TACCTACCGAGCGTGAGAATCAGCGCCGCGAACGCAGCTCGTTAACTTAATCCGATGAAGAATTGACAAGGCACGGTGCTATATTTCCGTCGCGAACTACATTCTTGGCAGAGTGGTCAGTTAGCTAAATAAAATCGTAATTTATCTCGAATAACGTACACATTAATTTCTCTCGCTTTTCATTCAAGAGCGGATTTTGGATTTTTACCGCAGTGATGCGATATCTGTAAAATAGCTTACAAACTGATTGCCATTAATTGACGGTACAAGGAGATAATGACACAGCGTGCGATATAAAAGAAAATTAATGGCGCGTAAATAAAAGTTTCATTTTCATTTATTTCATAAATAAAAGCTTATACGAGGCGTGTGCGACTTTAGGATATCGGGGTCGGAAATTTATTTGACAATTTGTACCACCAAACCGACCTGCAGCACATAATACACATAAAATATTGCCGTGAAAATGCCGTTGCGTGAAAAGAAATATCGTAAACCACACCTGAATACCGGAATAGTAATAGTGACTCTAGGGCGTCAACGAAGGAGAAAACACGTACTCTTTTCTCAATTTTCCTACACAGCTCGTCGGGTTTTCTGTGTATTTTACAACGCGGTGAAACGAGCCTTCTACCTGAATCTCCGAAGGCGCAAGAGTGCGCGGCATTTCCTCAAAGATTCAAACGCACTGTGAGCAGAAAGGAAAAGGAGGTATACAAGTCTGGAAGCTCGTTTTAAAGGTTTCCTCTAAAATTTTGCAGATTTGCTCGCTCCAAGAAATACCTCTTCATCCTGCGGGCACTTTTGTCACCTCACAATAGCACAGTATATACAAATTTTCTCTAAAAACTCGTATAATCGTCGAGTTTCTTTCACAGATCGCTCCGAACGTGGCGTCTAAATCTTTATGGTACTTAAGTCTCGAAATTCTTGCTTTGTCATGCGTCTAATTTTTATACATCCGGAATATGTGCCCTGTTGTCCGACGAGTATATGATTTTCAGTATGTGCTGCAGGTCGGTTTGGTTGTACAAATTGTCAAATAAATTTCCGACCCCGATATCTTAAAGTCACACACGCCTCGTGTAAGCTTTTATTTATGAAATAAATGATTAAGTTTAAAAAAAATTCTCTCCGTGCAGTCACTAAACATTTTAAATGCCAAGAACACCGCTGCAAATGCACCATAAATCAGTGTCGCGTTTCCTGTTAAAATTATATATTTTCTATAGCATACGGTAACATTAATGTAAATGAGTCTGGAATCAAGCGTGCACGTGTTTGCGAATCGAAACAGGTTATTATCCTTGATGTTACCATGAAAAGTAGAATATGTCGAAGCTATTGAAAAATCGTTTGGGCGTCAGTAAAACCTTAACTCTCAAACGAAAATTCATAAATCAAACTGCTCACGGTACAAGAGCGATATTTACGCGAAAGGAAATTTGTCTGCCTTTTATTTAGAGTCACGACTTTTTTGTATTCTTAAAGAGTATCAGGCTACCGTTCTAAAAATGTGTCTACCTGTTTTAAATTTATTCTCTGCAAGTATTTTTTTGCTCCAACAGGTTTTACATCTCAATCATTGTCAGTGGACATTTAAGGATGCTTATTCATGTGGCTAATCCATTGCGTCCCAGTGATTTTCCCCGGAAATCATTATGAGCTATCACGTTCTTTAAACTTTTCGTCGCTTTTTACAATTAACGTACGTAATCGAATATTTGTGTTATTTTTAAAAACACGGGATATAATAATTTTTATTTTTTAAATTAAAAACATTTTTATAATTGACAATTATTTTTAAGTATAATATATACATGTATTAAACGTTTATGTAAAAAAAAGAAACATTATTTCTTCTATATCTTTTCAAAGGGTTAAGTATGTGACGACTCCTGTAAAATCTTACGCGACAAAGATCCGACAGATTGGCTTGGATCGGTACGGCTCGTTCGAGCGTCGCGACGTAAGGTGCAACCCACGTGCACACCGTAACATTCCAATCGTGACTTGCAATCTGCATTCGTAATTTCGTATCTACTCCGACCAGTGCCCGATCTTTTACACCTAGCCTCCTTTTAACGGCGCGCGCGGGACGAATGAGAACTCGCTAAGTGAAGCTGGCACGTTGAAAGCGCGATAATTGCAGTACCGTTGGCTCATGTTTATATAATTACAGGCTTTTACAGCAAATACTTACTACTGTAAGCTCTGTGGATTTCTGTCGCCGTTTGTTGGCGCGCAAACAAAAGGAGGAGTCATTTTTCAACGTTGCAGATTTAATCGCCGACGAAAAGAGAAAACCAAAGCTCGTGCATTATTCATTCATAAAGCGGTAACCGCTAAATTAAAAAGTTGCTAAAAAGGCTCTTTCCCTCCCGAATAGAAGAGATTGCGCGTCGTGCATTCTCTATGACTCTTTGTAAATATGCGCGGCTTATCACGTTCAATTTATTACAAGGTGAAAAAGCGAAGAGAAAATTTATTCGGCGCTTCGGCCGACTCTGCGCTCGAGTTCAAACGACTCCACTGATAAAACGCTGATGCGCGCCGTCGCACTGGCTCTTCTTACTTGTCGAGTGTAGACAATCAGTCGCGTATCGGTGACATTGGGTGTTGCGATGTGCTCGTGATCGCGTGTTCGATCCCGCCGATCGCGAGCGCGCGTCCCGCGATGCACGAAAGGAGAAGAGAATTGACGGGAATGCGGACGATGCCGTCACGGAAATATCTATAAAATGTGTTTGGTCGATGGGAGAAGCCGGGGCCATAACGTCAGTCTCTCGGCAGCCAAACCGATCGACTTTCGCGAGATAAAAAAATTGTGCAGAAAAAAAATTGATCCTAGGGAGATGCTGGAGCGACGGCAAATACCGACATGTAGCGTGACGCCGCTATCTTCGAATTGGCTTAACAGATTTAAAAATTCTTTCGCACACTTAAAGTACATATGTATTCAAAAATACATTGCAGGCTGGTCAGTTTAAGACTAAAAACGAACAAAAGTTACAAAATATATCTTGGTGTTGCACGTAAAGCTGTCAGTTCAAACAAACGTTCGCTTGCATACAAATTATATACGAGGGCCATTTGAAAAGTTTCCGGCCTTTTTAAGAAAAACACATATTTCAAAGCAAAACAAAATTTTTTTCTCGACGTAGTCTCCCTGCAACTCGATACATTTAGTCCAACGTTTCTCCCATCCTTTTAAACCGTCAGAAAAAAATTGATTGTCTAAACCTGAAAAATACTGGTTTACAGCGTTTTCCACCTCAGCATTTGACTTATATTTTTTTCCCCCGAGAAATTTTTTCAAATTAGGAAACAGGAAAAAATCGCTGGGAGCTAGATCTGGCGAATAGGGTGGGTGCGGAAGCAATTCAAACAAGTCGAAAGCAGTCTGCAATTCGGATTAGATCAAAGAATAGCGTCAAATCAGTAAAACTAAGACCAAAAGTTTAATAAAAAAAGATTACCAAAGAACTTAATTTTATGTAGAAACGCGTATCTTTACACCTGAAGTGTAACTACAGAATGACAAACCCTAGGTGCCAGATCTTGCAACAGATAGCGCTGCAATGTGTTAGAAAGGATAGATATATTTCATGAATATCTCTGTTCTTGTCTCTTTTGTGCTGTGTATGTATATGTATGTGTTCCCAAAACATCTTTACGTCCTGAGTGACAATGGAGGACGTTAAATTATCGACGATTTGAAAGTTCAGCCGTCACTCCAGGATCCCCACTGTTGCCGAGAACAATTGTTCTTCGCACGAAGACAGAAGAATAATCAAATATCAAAAAGAAGAAGAGAAGAACTCGGCTTCCGATGGCCTGTGTCCACGATGCTGGAACTCGGTCCAAGTTCTAGTTTCGAGAAATGTGCGGCCAACTTGCAGCTACGCGACATAAGCTGCAAGTTGATTGGCTACACATTTCTTGGACCGAGTTCTAGCGTCGTGGACACAGAAGCTTGAGAGGCTCGCGACTCGAGGCCGAAACGAGAGGATCCGCCGACGGAAGAAATCGAGAGGGTGCCTCTACTCCCGCCTCCCTGCGCCCCTCAAGGGCGCGATCCCTCACAAAAGGCTCGCTGAACCGCGAACGAGCGAAAATGTGTCATTATCGCGCAAATTACGATGCCGGCGCTTCCGTACGCGTCCTGCGTCCCTCGATATAATTGCCGTGAATTAGCGGTCGATCGATGAACAGCCCGCGGAGAGACGTGTATCGTGGGGATCTGCGGCCACTAACATCGTTACGCCACAGCCGTATATTTCTCCGAGCGTAAATTACACGAGGGTTTCGGAGGAGCTAAGCGATGCCAGATAGCGCTGGCCGATTCAGAAATGGAATTGCTCCAGTTATTATCATAAAATCGTAAATGGCGCAGTCAATTTTCGGCTCGGTATCGCTGGGACGACTATCGTTTGATGGGGATTAATGCAATCCTGCGTTAGATTGTCTAAAATTTTGCGTTAGCTCTCGGAATACACGGGGAGAATGTCTTCTTCAATTTCTTTTTTTACTTCGAGTTTTACTTTAAAAGTAGCCACTTTCGCAGACAATACGCAAACCTGAGACGTCGGAGCGCCCTTCCTCCCTTTCCATCTCGTTCCCCTCTCCCGCTCACTCGAACGCAAAAGAGCGCTCCGACGCCTCAAACTTGCCACGCCGAAAACGCAGCTGTCCAATTGATCTCCGTTAGGTCTCGCTGCCTCCGGAAAACATCCCCCGGGCCGCGCAACCGAACGCCCACGCGCGCGCGCGGTTGATCTCCATTCATCGCGTAACCCGTAGAGGGGGGGGGGGGGTGAGCGCGAGCTTTAATCGATCGCCCCCGATTCGCGGGGGACGCGAGCCGGCGCGGGCGTGAATTACCGGCGCCTCGGGAGCCCGGCGGTCGCGCGATAATAAATCCTCGGCCGGCACGTGGCGGGTTCGACTCGAGGGGGCCGGTTACGGGCGCAGGAAGATCGAAAAGCGCGTGTACTCACTCGGCGTAGCTGTACAGCTGGCGGCTCCCAGAAGGAGGATCAGCAGCAGAAATCTGGCCGGCTCCATTCTTCGCGTAGGTCGTTTTCTCCCCGCAGCTGTCACAGCACACTTATTAACCTTCACTGTCCTGGCGAGAGTCCCCGGACGTCACTCCGGAGAAGAGGCCCACCGACGACGAGCCGGCGAACGCGGGGATACTATCACAGCGATGTACACGAGGGAACCGCCGCGGGAAGGAAGCCGTCGACGAGGTCGGCGAGTGTGCGTTCCGCTTCCCGTTCTCCTTCCGTCTTCGCGAGACGAAACGGAGCGTGCAGGCACTTTCCGCGCTAATTTCGCCGCGCGGAGGCGAGCGGGTACCGTTCCGCGCCTCTCGGCGTCACGCCGGTTTCCCTCGATAACGGAGCACGACGACGACCGCGGTACGAATTGCTTTCCTCGCGGAGGAAGGAGATTCAACGAGGCGGGGGCGAGAGAAAAGACTCGCCCGGTCCTCACTTCGGTACCTACCGGCGCGCGAGCGTAAGGGAGGACCGTACAAGAGACCCGGGGGCTCGCGCGATCAGAACCGGGGGTTGATTGAGGCGCGCACGTGCCGCGTGTCTGTCGCTCTAGAGCGTGCGGGACGTGACGAGGGCGACCGCGCGGCGCAGCAGCTCGCAGACGAATGCCATCGGGAGCGCCGCTCTTCCGAGTTCCGCGTCGACATAGGTGCGCGGCCCGTCTCTCCCCACCCCAGGCCGTTCTTCCGCCGGCAGGGCCGGCGCCGTTTCTCCATTCTTACCCCCACCGCGCGCCGTCGAGCGCGCGTGCGGTCGACGCGTCAATTACGTTTGAATCAGAGCCGACGGCGTCGCTGTGCCGGGGTCTCGGGATTAGGGATGAAAGGTACCAAAAAAAAACTGGAAACTTTGAGTAAAAATCAAGTAAAAATAAGTTTTTTTGCCAGGCTCTAAAGTAAGTTTTTTACTCGGGTATGTATTTTCTTCGGACATTTGACGCCATTATTGTTCTAGCACTCATTCAAAATATTTCTGTGTAAAGATAGCTGTAAATAATCAAAATGTAGTACAATCCCAGCCAGCACACATATCTAAAAGACATCATAAAGACGTCTTTAAGACGTCTTTTAGACTTAAAGACGTCTTAAAGCTGTCTTTTAGACATGGTGTGCTGTCTGGGATGTCTAAGTGGCGGTGGCCATGGATGTACTTATTGCTAGATTATTGTCGGTACTTCTGTAGGGAGCAAGAACTAAATTCAAAACTTATTTTGTTTGAATAAACGTGTTTATTCAATCACTAGGAAACTATTGATATATGTATATCTTTGGAAATTATCACATTTTAGTTTTAACTTGTAACACAGCCTCTGAAGTTAGCGTGTACTTTAATGACATACATTAGAATGTTTAAATGACATATTTAACTAATCCAAGAATAAAAATCTAGTCAAACTTAAAATTGTAAGCTTTGCATAAATAAAATTGAAAATACTGTTAATTTAATATGTTTGAATGAAAATAAAAAACATCTCGTTCCTTTTACATGAAAAGTAAAGTAAATATAAAACATAAAAAAGAAAACTAAAAGATATTACAAATTCTTTATAGAATTATTACACAATTATTGCCAAATCGAATCTTGGAATGAATATACAATCCATTATAAACTATTGTAAAACAAAAAGAGAAAAAGTTGAGGCAAAATATTACTTACTCTGTAAACTCAAAGCGCTTTTTATTCTAGCTCGGTCACTGCGGAGTGCAACAATAAGTACGTTCAGGAGACACAACAGCTCAGTGAGTTCTTGCATCTGATTGTCAGATTTTTGTTTAAAAACGGTTTTTTACCGGAAAAAACTGGTTTTTAATTCGGTTTTTTACTTCGAAGTAAAAAAAACCTGTTTTTTTTCATCATCTCTACTCGGGATAGATTCTGCCTCCCCCCGGGAGACGCGTTTCCCTTCCCTCCCTCGATTCCGGTTTTCCGACGGAAGGTTTTCGCGTGAGTAATGGCCGGGTCTTCTTTGTTTTTTTTTTGGTTGGCTAAATCGATGACTCGTCGCGTTTCGATCTGTGACTCATAGAATCGGTAATCTTCAGTTTAACTCGATTGGCAAATCAACGGACGTTTTTCACATTGTTATCGATAGCGTCTTTTTGTAATTGCATGCACGCGGCACTTTCGTCGGGTAGCGCGCGTGAAATGGACATGCGGATTACACGCGGATGATTGTGGCAAATTATACACACACCGCAACCCGCAACCGCAGTCGATAATCAGCGTCGTTTCGAATTTCACGCACCCGTGCGAAATTCTGACGCGCGCGACTTATCATATTCGAGATTAAATCGATTTACGTTTTCGCCGCGGCGAAATGTACTTACGATCGCGCTTATTTCTGTTTCACATCTTATTCCTTTTACTGACTTAGTCACTTACGTTCGTTTCCACCAATGCAGATTAACTTAATTTACTCGCGGTTTTATCGTTTTCTGATTTTTAAAATATATAAAGTAATTAAGTTAAACCGAGATTAATCTTTATTGGTAGGAACAGACATTAGACTTTTCACTTACGGTTAAAAAGTAAAGTTTTGCAATATTTGTGGAAGAATTTTGTGTCAGAGAAATCTTTGTCCGCAAAACAAAAATCATTAAAATTGATTACGTAAAACCAAACGTAGTCTGTCTTTAATCTTTAATCGCATTCAATAATTTATACTCTGAGAAAAGTGTTGAATCGAAAAATATTTTTGATATAGTGTGTCAAGCAAATATTTATCAATTCAGAAAAATATGTTTCGATAAACGACTGTATGTTTAACTTAAAAACATATGTATTTTAACTGAAGAAATACTGCCAACTAAACGTATATATAGTCATTTTAATAACTTTTTCTCAGTGTAATAATTAGGTATATATTATATAGTCCCTTTTATAATTTTTATATAGTCCCCCCCCCCTCTCTCTCTGTTAACATTCTAATTTTCTGTATTATACAAATGTTCATTCTTACATGCAATTATTTTTTAATGTCTATGTAGTATTGTCTAACGTTTTGAGGGAATTTGTCTCAGAGCGTTTAATAAACAAAGATTCTAAAGATTATAAAGAGTCTCTCTCTTTCTCTCTCTCCCTCTCTCTCAGCAAAGTTTAATAGGCGATGTATTGATAGTATCGTGAAATGGTTTGGAAAACGAGATTGCCCACCCGTACAAAATGAGATTCACCGAAGCGAGAAGGTTTTATTAAAGAGATATTGTATTTAAGCATCGATGCGACATCGATTGTATCTAGCGGGAGAATTATATTTGGCTGGAACTCAACTAGTCCTCAACGGTATATATTTCGACGTGAAACGCGTATATAGCTGTAATATGTAAAACAATACGATTTTTCTCAGCTTCACGTACTAGCATACGAATCGAAAATGCGAATATCAGTGATGTCATACACGATGATACCAAGATAGCGCTGTATCTTGTATTTAATTAATACCACTGCATCTTGCATTTGATAATATCAATGACTTTGTATTTATAATTCGTCATTAATCATATAAGAATAAAACGCAGATAATGTAACCACATTTACAACATCCAACGTAGCTTTTTCTGTGAAAGACACTCTTGTAAGTGCTTCCAGTTGCACTATATATATATGTGTACCAAAATTATCTTATTGTAGCATCTCGAATGAAGGCTGAATTGAATGGCCGAGGCACGCATTTAGACACAATAATGTTGGGCGTAGGAACGCAGAGAATGAATGAATGGACGGATCGGTGAATGAACGTACCGGACGCACGCGCACCTGGGGAGGGGGGGGGGCGGTGTGGGGAAGGGACAGAGGGTTTCGGATTCCATTCCGATCCCCAGTCCCATCCTCATTCCCTCAACCCTTCCGACATGCCGTGAACGAACAACGAGATGGGAATCCGTAAAAAGTATCCTCCCGCAAACCTATTGAACATCGCCAAATCCCAACATTTCCCTCCTAATCCCGTTGTAGCGTCAGTAACAATAATCGAGAAACAAACAATACTGTGTTTAAGTCAGATCCGCCCGTCCCACGACACGTGATTTAGATGCTACTTCGTGGCATACGGAGGACCGTATTAAGATTACCATCGACGCGGACACGAAACTTGTCGCTGGCCCGAGATAGTTCCGCGCAGTTCGAAAGGTTTCCTCTGCTTTCCAAAGGAGAGAAGTAACTAGTTCATCGGCAACGTGGTGTCGAGACGGGGGGGACTCGTTCCTAGATTAACATCTTCCCGGGGAAAGATTTTAGGAAGCGCGGATCGTTGGTATTCACCGGGGAATTACGTGGCCGTGCGGCTACTCAAATTTAAATTCAAATTCGACACTCGTCAGAGATGGGGCTCCTTACATCCGCGATAAAAGAAAAGACGCGTACAAAATAATTCGTTATAGGAACGCCGATGATCGTAAGATTGCCGGCGTTCGTGATTTCCCCCGCAGCTTGTTGCGCCTTGACAACAAGCTGCGTCCTCAACAGATTCTTCACGGTGGTCTCGACAATGGGACTTTTCCTCCGTCTCCTCCGTGGAGTCTGACGAGACTACAACATGTCTTAAGCCCAGCGTTGGATTCGTAAGAAAAGACAGGCGACCGAAAACTTCGCGTAACGGTAAAAGATTCGTAGGGTGAATGGACTGCCGGTTCTTTTTCTCGCTCGTAGCCAAACGACAACAATGCAGATGAATATTGAACGCACGGTCCCGTCGGGATTCCCGGTCTTCCTGGTTGGCCACTGTCGCAGCATTCCAGTCTTGTATTTTCATGTCCGGGCCTGCGTGAGCTCGGTAAAGTTCTGTGAAGACAGATGTTCACGACTATGTCTCTTGTCTCCATATTTTGATACCGGACTCATTCTTTATGCACGTCCTATCTGTCGTTGCTAATCGAATAAGCGCATCGCACCGCGTGTAACCCGTGAAAGTCGGGCAACTTTTCGGCACTGTATTTATAGAAATAAGTTGCGTTGTAATAAGAAGGCTCTTATTTACTTCCCCGTGGCTTCATTCGCACGAAGTAACAGCGTTTGAACATTTATTTATGAGCTCGTATATATTTTCATACACTTCGTAGTGTTTAATTGGTTACGACGCAAGGTCGCGTTGTTGAAAATATGCAGGAGGTATCTGCTGCACAATCACTTAATTACGTTGCAGATTTCACGGATTACGACGGAAAGACCGTCGTGCCTAATTATATGACTAGCTTTTGCGCTTAAGCGACAGTCGCTAATTGCAATGCCTTTGTCTCGCTGCATCGCCAGCATTACCATCGCGTGATTGTACCGTCATCATTATCTAAATTAAGTAGGCGACATTGTCCTTAATGCTGTGAATAATAGCAACCACTGAAACGGCATTAATAAGCAATTGTACGCACGAATTGCCTCTAAATTAGGCTATTCAAACACGCGCCATTATTGAGTCTTTTATAAGTAGCGTGCGTAAGATAAAACGAAAACAGTCGTGAAATCATTGATCACTTTTAGGCCCGATTTTGTCGCTTAACTTTAATCTTACAATTAGTTTAATTCACGTTTGTCTCTTTCTAGTTGGAAACAATAAGCTAGGTTTAAAATTTCGCGACGTTATTTTCCGTGCGTGCGATTAAAAATTTCTTGAATAAATTTTGACTCGAGAAATCGATATTGCACACCGACGACGAAGTAGAACTTTTAAAACCTAGACACGTCACGCTGCATTTGTTGGGTATTTAAAATGGGGCGTAGCAAATTCGACGATAGAGCTCCTCTTTCTTCTACGTTTTGGCGCAGTAAGGGAGATGACCTAAAGGCGGAATGTTCCACGTC